CCGACGCCCCGCGGCCGATTTGGGGGCTTCGCGCACGTTGTTGGAACGCGCCGGAGAAGGTATGTCACGCGTCAACGTTGTCTCTCGGCATCTGGACGAGCGTCATCAAACATCGTTTGGGACTCAGTGAAACAAACGAGCGCCGGCGCCGCCGCCATATGCCGGCGAGCGGAAGGCGAGGACGCCGCCCGGGACGGGAGTGCGGTTGGACGCCAACCGGGCGAGTCAAACGTGGCGCAGCGTCTCTTTCCGTCTCCCCAGAAGCGAGAGGATGCTCTCGCTTTTGAAAAATGCTCCAGTAGGGCCAACAAAGCTCGATTTGCCGCTGAAATGGCGGGCGCCGCCCATTGGCGTTTCAGAGCGCAGAAACAAAGCGAGGGGCGGTGAGCAAAAGCATCGCGCCGGAAACGTCGCACTGAAGCCGTTGCCCGCTCCGGCGGCGGCCAAGCGGTTGCGAGGGAAGAAGCGGCGCGGCGCGACTCGCTCCACAAACGCAAACCGGCGCAGATGGCAAAATGTCGCCGACCTTGGCAACGGAGCATCTGGACGAAGGACGGGCTGACTTTGGTGCGAGCTTTGCCTTGACAACTTGCAACACTCGCTGACATTTGCGCAGGCGCGGGCGGCCGCGACCGCGACGCATCACATTGCGGAAGCCCGGGAACCTGCCAATTCTCTCGGCCGCTCACGAGCGAGCGCACACGTCGAAGAACGACACCCGTCAACAATCCTTCCATCGCATCCGGCGAGAGAGGAAGTGGCATCTGAATCCTGAAAGCGCCTCAAATTTTGCCCGCGTCGATTAGTGCCGCCGCTGCTCCATATTGATCGTGCCGCGTTACGAGCCGATCTCATCTGGGGGGGTTTCCGCACCCCCGTTTCTCTTCCGCGACCTTGGCGCGACATTGAGGGCTCTCTCTCTCTCTCTTTTGCGGAGGCCGCCCGACGCTTTCCGCCAGTTTCAGTCTTGCAGTCGAGACGTCGTTCCCGGGAAGACGAACCTCTCCGGAGAACGCGCCCGCAAGGATTTGGGGGTGGGGAGCCGCCGGCGCCGCCAAGTGGCGTGTCTTTGTTGCGGCGCGGATACATCCGCCACCCCATCAAGACTGACGCAACGAGCGCACCCGAGCCCGCCCACGCAAAGCTAACTTGCTCCCGCGCACGCATTAGCCACGGAAGGTTTGGAGATCGGCAAGGGGGGCGAGGGGGGGTGAGCATATTGCCACCTTTTTTTCTTGAAAGCGTTTTGCAGGTGGTCCTCATCTACTCCAGTCCATTTTCTTCCGCTGCGTGACCTTCAACTTTCAAGTGGGGAAACAATGCAAGCAAATATATCAAATCCGAACATCTTTTTTTTTCCTTCTTCTTCTTCTTCTTCTTCTTCTTGGTGGCACCGCGTGTGTCGCCCCTCGCTCATTCTCCCACAACGCACTTTTCTTTTTTCCCCTTTCAGCCTCTTCACTCGATTGAACTCAGCCGAGATTTACACGACCATTCACGAACCACAAAGTCGCCGGTGTCAACACACACACACACACACACACACACACACACACACACACACACACACACACACACACACACACGCACTGGTGTGCCC